AGGTTTTAAGCAGTGAAAACATAATTCCTGTGCTTGCACTGCCACCTATTGCCACCTATTGAAAAATAGGAGACATGCATCGTCGATTCCTGTTCTCATCTGTTCGCTCTCTGTTTTTCGTTGCAATCCTTTCATGTATATTTTGTATATATAAAATCAGCAATGTGTCCCTATGAGTGGTGACAAGGAGCTACTAGAGTCCTACAGCGATCTGATCCAGTATACATGCATAGTATGTGTAAGTATCTATACCATGTGTGACAGATGCACTCCACCCCGTAACCAACAGTAGTTTGGTACATGCTCCAAAGGAGGTGAAGGCCTGAGCCATAGCCGGGCCAAGAGCTCCTCTAGTTTCAATCTGTTCAATGAAAACCCACAAAGGAGCAGAGTGACACAGTGAGCAAGAATGTATGTGAGCTTGGAACACCGATTGTGCCATTAATGCATCAATAGTGAGTGGCTTTTCCAAGACTCATTTATCAAGGTACAAAGAAAGTTGTGGGCACAAGGAGTCTCATGCATACCTTTCCCATTGCAGGTAATTTGACTACAAGCCCACCACTTCATCCCATAAGTATGACAGCCTTAGCGAGCCTTCTTTGAGCTGTCCCTGCTGGGCAGTGTGGCTGCATGGTGGTGATGTCCCCTTGAGCTGGGACACCTCTCAAGGTTGCTCGTTGAGGCAGAGAGATATTTCACCAACGGCAGATCTTTGATAAGCGACCGATACTGTGCATAGTCTTGTAGTATGGTAACTTTGATTTGTGCCTTGGTAACTCTGATTTTGTCTTGGTAGTTTTGAATCATTGTTCAGATGATTGCGTCATACAGTAGCAGAGTGAGCCCGCCATTGAACTCTGCTAAGTCGCACTTTTACAACATCATATTAAAACCGCTTTTGCTAATACCTTTGACAGTGGTTCTTTAAGCTATCTAAATCACCCTGTTGCAACATCATGAAAGCATATACAGAGCCTTGGACGTACACAACGGAATTCTCCACTAGCTGAGCTCTTCCCTCCACCCTGGGAGAGCTGGAGCTTTTTGCTATTCTCAACCTCTTGTTATTTTCTGTGGGGTTCTTCTATCTTTTTTACCTCCTGTCTCACTAATTTTCAGATCAAATCTTTTCTTTTTGCTTGAAGTAGCTTCTTCAGCTTGTGGTGTAGTGGTGGTTTCCCCTCTGGCAACCTGTATTCATTTCCTTGCCCTCATCTGGTGAGATTCCCTTATCTGCAAGTTCTTCTGATTCCACAACATCTTCCCTTCATTGTCCTTTTACCTTTATCATTTATCAATTTCGTAAATACTTCTGTCACAAATTATTCACATTCCTAGTCATACAATGCCCATTAGTAGTCAAACACTTAAGCTAGGCAATTTTACAACACATTCCCTTGAACAAGTATTTGATTTTCTTTGTTAGCCCTAGCATTTCCAGTGAATCACCCTTGCATCTGCAGTAAATGAGCTTAATTCCATCCACAAAAACTAGTTGCTTTCTCCTTCCCTTACTCACTTTTTCTTGTGCAGTCCCTGCTCCTGCTGTCAGCTTCTCAGCTTTGGTCAAAGTTATTCTCATTAGTAAAACCAAGATGAGGTACGTGAGGGATGTGAGGCCTGTCCTTGGGCCTACAAAATGACCCAAAGAGGCCTTTTTATAAACTTTTCTAATATGAATTAAAGTGTTTTTAGGAGACCAACTGTAATACAATATACTTTAAAACAATGCTCCTCCTCTTCCCAATCAGCAAAATTATTCTCTCTTCTCAATTAGCAGAAGAACAATCTTGCTTAAGACTAGAGGAGGAGTAAAATAGTTTTTCTTTTACTTTTTTTTTTTCCACTTATAATTTGTGTTGCTGGAAACTGGAATTAACTATGCTTTTCTACTGGGAAACATCATATAAATTATGGCTTTCTGTGCCGTATAGACCCTAGGGTGTCATTAAGTGACTGCATCTCCTGTACAGCTAGAGGTGAAAAACTTACGGGGATGATACAGATGGAAAGGTCATTAACAGAACTAGAGAAATCCATCTGCAACTCTCACTCTGTAAAGGTTTTATGTAAGAGCTCTAGCTAACTGAGATGGTATCGAATAACAGGCGGCATGCTGAAAGTCTTCTAATGTCTCCAAAACCTGGATTTATGCATAGGGAGATAAATCATTGTATTGCTTATAGCCTGATGGATGAAGAGTGGAGAGTTCTAGAGTCTGGTAATTTATTAAATATGGAAGCTGTTATAGGTTCTTTCAAAATAAAGAAAGAGAGCTCAAAGAATGATTTTTTTCTGCATTCAGCACAATGAGTTTCAGAAAAGAGCAAGCGAGTACAGCTGTCTCCAGAAGTTCTGGAAAATTTAAGGAATAAGCATTTTTCAATTAAATATCACGAGGAAAAAGTGAACGAGATTACAAAGGTGATAAGATATTATTTGGTTAACTAAAGAGTTAACGCTTGATAGCTTTAGTTAGGAATTCTCATGCAATATTTTTATCTTCATGAGAAACTGAACCATTTCACAACAGAAAAGTTTATGAGCTGTGTAACCAGTATCAGAGCTATCCAATTACCCAACTGATGGAAAAATTCCCCAACTCCAATGCTCTCTCTGTCCTTTTATGATCTGAGGTTGTGGAACTTCTTTCCTGTTCTTACTGCAATTCTGGCAAATCTAAGAGGCTTAGTTTGAACATCTTACACCTTACTTACCATGTAGCTGGATTCACATACTGATTTCCCTTGGGCTACCTAATTCTTTACCTTATTTACTATCTTTGCTAAATACACGGTAAAGGAATAAGCTGTAGCATTTTGATCCCTAGGCTGAAGCAGCGCAAAATCAAAAAATCTAAATGACAACAGCACAATTTACACAACTTCATTGTTGGGTTTCACTGTATTTGAGAAACCTGTTTGTAAGCAAAGATATCTTTGCTTTGATTACACTTTACAGAACTGTTACCGCTTGCAACTGCAATTCTCCCTAAGATACAAGAATTGCAACATTTTTTTCCTACACATCTTGATGTGAAACTGATCATTCTTGACTGTTTGCAATCTCACATTCTTCCCTTACTGCTCTACAGAGATGTACGTGAATTTTTCTACGTAATTTTGTCTGCAAGGTTGTTGGGACAATGGTGCTTCCAGGACTTACGGAGAATACCTAAGCACAACATTTGAACATAAAAATTTGAATTATTTGGAGGAATGAAAATAAAGTCTCCTGGCTATGTCCCATTAGCCCAGCTCCTAATACCTTACTTAAATTTGCATACACTCCGCAGTTTATTGTCAAGGGATGAATTCATGATGCAAAATGCTTTTCAGCATAGGCAAAGGCATCACTCTTTTGCCTACTTGCAAAATATTATTCCACCCGTTCTTCAAACAGCCACAAACAGACCTCACTCTAATGCAAAAAGTAAATTTAGATTCTATGCATGACCTGCCAAGGAATTAAAGAGGTATTCTCAAATCTCCCCAAAAACATATTTATGGAATATTTGAGTAACTCTGCTCTCTGTTGAAAGTGCAGCTATTGAACGTGCTTGAGCCTGGGACTTCAGAGCTACAGGCATAACTGAAGCTGTGTGTCATCCCTTGCAGGAAAAATAATAGTGATGGGCTCAGCCGTATGAATCCCTACAGGACAGGTCTGGTCCTGGGTGTGTTACTTCAGTTTCTATACATGTAGCATCTATTCCTAACCGAAGCAATCAAACTTTTAGCAGATTTTAACAAGACTGAATTTCCAGTATCTCATTAATAGCTGGCCAATAAAGCACAAAATATGTTCAAAATAACAATAATTTAAGTCCCTAAGAACAGTGCTGATGAATCAAAAATGCACTTCCAGAAATCCCTGTTATTAAAGGCACCATATTCAATAACTTTTGTCTTTAGCAGCAGAAGCTGACTTTAACAAGGCATAACATACAATTTTAAAGACTTTCAGAACAGTATAGATTGTCGTCATGAGTTTGTAAAACTCTTACAACATCAAAGAGAGTCCAAGTAGGTAGCAGCAATGGCACTCCACTTTTCTTCTGCTATTTCACTGGCCAGGAGCAATCAAGAAATTGACAATAGTGAACAAAAGGAATCTTTAGCAGAATTAGAATACAACTGAAAATATTGGCAAGGACCTCTCCCCATAACTGTATCCCAAGAACCGCTATATGCACATGCTTGTGTGAAGCTGGAGTAAGAAATTGCAACTTCATCCATTGCTTGCCCATTTAAATAAAGCTATAAATGCTAAAAAATAGACCTGCCATTTCACGCATCTGCTTTTGAAGTGGAATTATTCTGTTTATTATTCCTGTGCCCTCATGCCTACAGGCAGACTTAGAATCTGTGAAATCCATGGACTAAAAGAGGACTGGAGAAACTGAAATGTAAGTAACTAGTTTTTCCTTGCCTCAGGAAAAATCACACTCATGCACAAAGCAATTACCAAAGGCTTATTAAACAGAAGCAGGCATTTATATTTCCTGTCTCCTCTAAACTTCTGTTGGTGAAAATCAAAGCCTTAAGTTTCCAAACGACCCAAATTATGAAACTAAGTTACACTAACAGAGTCATATTTGGCAGCAGATTTATCACTAGATTTATACAATTTTACAGTGATTTCTGATACTTCTGTTCACTTAGATCACTTTGTTTTGAACCTATATATTTGATAAGAAGTTGGAAACAACAAAATGTGAACACCAAGGCAAAACTACCAAAGAAGGATACACAGAAAATTATCAGGATCTCTTTATTAGGTTCATATCTTGTATTAATATTGAATATAAAAGTAGTCCTCTTTTTTACGTGTTAAAGTAACTACAAGGAGTTATTTTACAATTCCAAATTTCTTGGGAAAAAAAGGTTGCTATATATTTCTATAAATTACAGCATTGATCTGTACAGACAAAGCATTCTTATTTGCATGCGACAAATTATTTCATCAGATTATTCCCCCCCCCCAAAAAAAAATAGACAACCATAAAGCTTTTAGTGTATAGAAATATAACTACAAGCACAAGATGTACACTTCTAATATTCTTACTGGAGCTGTGCAATCCACTGGAAAGTTGGGAGATTTATGTCCTTCATCCTTTTATACAAAACTTCTAGATTTCATTGCCAAACTCCTGTTCGCTGTTGTTTATCACCAGCATGCTCAAAAAACATGAAGTCCTAAGAAGGAAACAAAAAGCAAGCAAAACAAATACTTCTTAAATGCAGTTCTTAGTTCAGAGATCTCCTGGTTGCTTTGCAAGGTACTCGAAGCACCTTCCTCTTGGAAACCTCAAATGATGAGAAGTTAGGGGCACCTCTCTCCACTCCCCATCACCTGGGTCTCTCAGAATAGGACACCCACAGAGAGAGAAAGATATGATGAAAGACCTACATGGAAAACTTTAAATTATCACTAGCCGAAGCTATGCTTCCTTTACTCAGGATTCCTGCCCTGACTTTGTTCGACACGACTCAGTCCCTTCATTTTACCTCAAACTGGAGTCCATCATCTTGATAACTATCTTTAGTTTACATCTGGGTGCCCCATTTTCTGTGTCTGGAGTCCTGGGTTGCTGGCACTCGCTAACACTGCACTTCATGCACACAGTAGCACATGAACACGCGCAGCTAAGGAAAACCTGGTTCTTGCACAGGGCTGTTGGAGGGTGGCGAGAACTTTCCAAACTCAAAGTGCTTCACATGCCCCTTTCCTCCCCCTCTGCAGCCCTGCCAGCACAGCAGCAGTGCACTTTTTGAAATGGTACCTAATGCCCAATTGCACAGATAAGTGGAAACACGAGTGTGTCGCAACTGTTTTGAAAGAGCAAAGTGAGCTGCACTGCAGTATTTGACCTGGTAGAGTCAAAGCGCTGCATCAAGTTAGACGTGCTTTGCCTCCACAGACATCCCTCCCATTGGAGGTGACTCCTTTGAGAGCATTTAATCCTGCTCAGCTCACTGCTTCACATACTTCCAAGGAGAGTCAGGAGGAACTGGCTGCGGCATTCAGCTGTCCAGTTCACCCACTCAGCAGGCTGCTCCGGCTTTGGATGGGTCTCCTGGCTAGTGCTGATCTGTACTTTTCTGGTTTCACCATCCACATAGAAACGCTTGACTCTGCTAATATGTCTGTACGGAGTCTTCCCTTCACAGGATTTCTCAGTCCCGTCACAAATGAAGCTCTCCTTAAATACAGTCAGCACTTCATGTAGTCTAGAATAAGCTTATTATCTGAAATAACTCTGTTGCCCTCTGGGTCGAGTTTTACACTCAGGAAGTTCACAACAAACTGCTGCTCACTTCAAAGAGTTCAGAGTCAAATCCTTTACCAGCACAATTTGAACATGGAGATGAAAAAGTCAGTTCATATTCAAGTATTAGAGAATGACAAACTTACGATAAGGAAGCAAGCACTGATCATGACAGCTTTCATTTTTACATCAAGGTCCATTGGGAATGTGACTCCAAAGTTATCTGCATCTGTGACAGCTTCTTTCAAAAAACCAGTCCACTGCTTAGAAATCCTCCCAACAGTACAAGTCTCATCCACAGACTTCACCTAGTTTAATATAAAATTAAGAAAAACCCATCAAATCTGTCATTCATAATATTCCCAAATCCTTTTCATAATAGATCCATTTGAAAGCTTCAGATTGTGTTATTTGAATTAATGCAGTCATTGCATGCAACTGTTTGTACCAAAAGGCAACCCTGACTATCAGAAAGTCAGTCTTAAGTAGCACAGACATGAACTTAATTCTAAATCTGACTGCGGAGTTCAATGCTTTAATAGTGTTGGAAGACAGCTACCGCACGCACGCACACACACTCTGTTGGAAGTGTTGTCTTTTAGCCAAGAGAGCGAATTAGTTTCTCCTGCCATGTATCAGGAACTGCTCAAGTGAAAATTAAACAAATTACATTCTTGTGTTCCAAAGCAGAGACTAGCCCTTTGTCAACATGGTGTTTCCTAAAGTTAGATCCAGTCTTCACGGTCATGTGAAAGACTAGTCCCCAAAATAAAATGATACTAAATTTGCTTTAGTAACTATTTGCAACATCATTTTATATATTAAATGGTAGAACAGTGTATCTACTGCTTCAGGTGTATGAAAATACTAATGCATTAATCACTATTATTTTTAAGTGCAAGTTGTAACGCTTCAGTCATTCAAATCTATATTTTAGGTCTAGATTATCTTGATTTACTTGGTCATTGAGTGATTATTAAATGATTAAATGAGTGGTTGTAGGAAGTCGTTTTAGTAAATATCCGATACAGCTAAGAACAACACTTTTGTTAGGACAGACTGAGAGAGTTGAGGTTGTTCAGTGTGGAGAAGAGAATACTCTGGGGAAACCTTATAGCAGCTTTCCCATATCTGAAGGGGGCCTACAAGAAAGCTTGAGAGTGACTTTTTACAAGGGCATGTAGTGACATGGTGAGGGGCAATGGCTTTAAACTGGAAGAGGGGAGATTTAGAATAAATATTAGGAAAAAAAAAAGTCACTAGGAGGGCGGTGAGACACTGGCACAGGTTGCCCAGAGAAGCTGTGGCTGCCTCATCCCTGGAAGTGTCCAAGGCCAGGCTGGATGGGGCTTTGAGCAACCTGGTCTAGTGGGAGGTGTTCCTGCCCATGGCAGGGGGGTTGGAACTAGATGATCTTTAAGGTTCCTTCCAACCTGAACCATTCTATGATTCTATGAAAATAGATTCAAAAAGATTTTGCTGCCAAATATTTCAATTAAGAGATTTGTGTGCAACCACAGGGAACCAGTCTCACTGATCACCAATGAGTGGCTTTAAGATGTCATTTCTGGAAGTTTGTCTGGCCTATCTAGAGTAATCTAGATACCTAGAGAAGTGAATTGATTATGCTAGCATTAAAAGATTGTGTACTAATTACTTAATATATACAGCAGTTCTGTTGACAGGTAAGAAGTCAAGCAACAAACTACTATCAAACTATCTGAAAGAAGATACATACAAACAACTTTTAGCATTGCATACCTCAAAATTAATGTCCTCACAACAGCTGCAGACAACACATGGGCCAGTAATTTTCAGTATATCCATTCTTTTCTCATCTTGAATGGTAAACTTTGGCAGGCAAGGATGCCAGTTCTGGACAACGTAACCAACCGGTGTTCCTGGAGGCGCCTGAACTTCTAACTTCACAGGAAAAAGAAAACCTCCATGTGAGTGCTCATGCTTTGATATGCTTGTTAGATAAAACCCACACTAGCACACAAACCAAACACAACAATTTTTCCACAACAACCTGGCTTTCCAATGCATGAAGCTGCATGGGGTTTTCTGTGAACATTTTCAGAAACCTGCACACAAATTGCAGACCTCATATGCAACTTTTGCCTTCTCAGAAAAAAATAAGATGGTCCTAAGGCTATAAGTACACAAGCTGTATATCTACAGTAGAAAGATCAAAGTCTAGTGAAAGAAAGGTTGTGAACATCCTGAAAGCGTTCAGTGAAGACATCACAGGATGCAGCTACTACAAATCCCTCAGTAAGAGCTCTAAGTAGGCTCAGATTCAAGGCTTCAGAAGTTGCACCACCGCATATTTATTTTGATACTAAAAAAGCTCATCATTTCAGGGGTTGACTTTCACTACAGCTTTTGTAAGCTGTTGCCCAACTCTTACACTGCAATTCCATCTCCAGCACAGATTTCAGCAGTAGCCCCAAGTTCCCTGACATGCTGCTGAATCCAGTTTTTCATTACGGTAATCGGAAGCAGCCACAGCAAACCTAAGTGTTGCAGCACACCAGCTTCTTCCCAGACCGAGGAGACCCCATGCACAAATCCCACAGATCTCTCTCCCCACAGCTTACAGACAAAACCTGACTTGTTTCGCCTCGCCTCCTGATTCAAGGCAACCCCATCTTAAAACTGCACAGGTGGACCATGTCCCACATGAGGGAAGACGGTGAGAGGGAGCAACTCACCTCCTGTAAGCAGCAGGGAAAGCAGCACGAAGAGCACCGGAGGGGTCTCTGCAGCGTTATCACCTCGTGACCCAGGTTATCTATAATCCGGAGGGTGAAGGGTCGTGATGGCCCACAGCAATTCCTGGTGCAACACTCAGTGTCCTCTGCTGCAAAGTACACCCTTTGGCCCAGTGTATTCTTGATTTCATATTTGTTGTTTGTTTCAAAGCCAGTCAAAACTGAAAAACAGGAACAGAACTATTAAATTTCTGAGGTCTGTCTGGTCAGAGAAGTCACCGTGCTAACTCTAAAGCTACCCTTTGGGCAGGCAGCCCTCACTCGAAGGCTGTCAGAGGCAGCTACCGGCGAAGGGAAGCGGTGGGGAAGGACCCTCGAGCAGAGGAGCCTGATGGAGAAGTTCAGAGAGGAGAAGCCACCGTGAACACGGCAACACGGAAAGAGCATGGAGATGTCCATCAGTGCCCTCCCACCAGATATGGACATCTACTGCCAGAGCAAGCACCACAGCATGGAATATTCCCAGGGAAGAGCTGAAGGGATGAGAATTAAAAGAAACGTGAATTTGGGGGTGAAGCAAGAAAAGGGTTCTAGAGGGCACAAATATGTTCAGAATGAGAAGGCCATAAAAAAAAAAAAATCCTCAGAGTCAAGAATCACAGCAGCACAAATAGAAAACAACAAGAGCCAGGACAGAAATTTTGATTAAATTCTCTAACAAATGAAAGTACTCTCTGAAGCATTATGGAAAGAAAATGCAGCAGCATTAGGTGTCAGCCAAGATGGATGGTCCGTTTTATTTCTTCTGTTTGAAAGACACTTGAGAACATGACTTTGATATTCTTAAAGTGAACGGAATGAGGAGAGCAGAAGGAAAGCAATTCAATTTGCTAAACCAGCAGGATTGCCTGGAAACGGCATCAGAGCTGCATGCCAGTCTATGGAATTAGATGGAATAAGAGAGGACAGAAAAGAAGATCTTTAAAGTGGAGAAGAAAGGCAAGTAGAAATCATGTGAATGAATAACATGGGAAATGTGTGACTTCAGCTATAACTAGCTACCAGGATTATTCAGTCGCATTGCTACGTATCTTTTAAGATATAGAACCTGCTTAAAATCCTCCACCCTCCTATCTTCTTCCTCTCCTTCACAGCTTGTGCAGGAATTGAGACAGATAACAGAGGCAGGAAAGAGAAAGGCAGCAATACATAGGGTCAAAGAAAGTCTAAATTTTACCGTTCTTGAGATTATTAGATTTAAACATTTCTCTGTTACAAATGCTTTTCACTTACTCTCAAGAAGTTCAATTTGCTGATGAATTAATATCTGGTCAATCTGTTCGTGGTTGAAAAATTAAACAGAATAAATAGTTAACAAGTTGTAGCTAAGAGAAATCTAGTTTTAAGAAGCATTGCTGTTTCATTTCAGAATGCAGATTTAGGGATCAATACATTGTCGTGAGGCAGAACATCTACCGGGAAAGCTGTGGAAGTAGCTCACGTCCCCCCGTGTCCTGTCCTCTGTCAATTTAGCAGAAAGGTGTTTCAGAGCACCGGAGCAGACGGCAGAAGCTGTACCCAGGCTGGGCTGGTTACGAGCACGCAGGGTGAGTGTGCCTGTGCCCCTGTCAGGACTCAGGCTAGCTCAGCTACCGACCTGACAGAGCCTCTGACACCGCATCTCCCAGACGCCTACATCAGGAGTCCGTACAGACAAAAGCAGGAAACTGAGAAAATTTAGAGCTCACCTACTGCTCAGCTCTGAGTAAAAATCAGGAAATATCAGCCGCTCCTCACTGCTGCTTTTTCTTTTTCTTTTTTTTTTTTTTTTTTTTTTTTTTTTTTTTTTTTTTTTCTGAGCAATTTGCAAAACTGGCAACAATACATCAGTGTTAAGCCTTGCTATTTGCGCCCAGTGATGAGATGAACTGTACTTTTACAGTACAAGGACATATTCAGTAATGCGGAAACAACTCTTATTTTGCTATTAGCGTTCTCTACGTTGTGAAGTCTGACTAGTGCCTCTCCTAACAACATTAGGAAGAGGTGCGAAGAAAGCATCATGTGGAAAATTAAGCACCTCTAATGTGCTACAGTTGCCCATATTATATACATTTATTATATACACCTTGCCAAATCACATTACATCTCACAAACAGTAGCTTCAGAAACGGGAAGAACGTATGACAGCGCTGTGCCCCCTGTCCTTTAGCATCTCACTTGGCAGGAGAGCACTCCGTGAAGTGCTGCAGCCACAGCAGGCACCTCCACTCTCAATCGTGCATCAATCACACCACAAAAGGCTTCACTTAGCAGCCCAAAACAGCAACCTATGCAGCGGCAACAAAGCCAGATGTGGGTTTTTTTAGCTATTTCACAGACGCAGGCTGCTTCTCAGGTGGATGAATACATGTTCTCTGGGGAAGGAGGAAGGATGCAGTTACCTGTGTGAGATATTCCAGTCCAGGAGGGCAGTTGGGAAGAGGAGGAGGGACGGGCATCCAGATTGTCCCCTCCTTCACGATGGGCTGGTTCTGGATGGGTGGAACAGCAAATCCAGCTGGAACTGGACTCGTGGCCTGTACCTGGAAGCCATAGCTCCCTGCGCCAGCGACACCTGGTGTTGTAGGAGAGATGCAGTTATGAAACTTAGATGTTAGAAAATAATTGCCCCATGGATCTTTAAAAGATTAATTTGTTCACTACTTTGACCTACGAAGATCCTTATATCTACAATATATTTCAGTTATTAATACTACAACTTTCATGAGAGAATTTACACTGGATTGGGATGTTCTAATCCCTCCAGACAAAACTAAACAAAATAAACAAAATAAACAAAATAAACAAAATAAACAAAATAAACAAACACATCATTCTTGAATATAGCAGTTTTATTCACATAAAGATATGCAATTCAAAAAAAAAGAAATAAATAAATGAAGGTTATTTCTAAGTAGAGAAGACAGAATACCTTTAAATACATTAAGAGTATTGGCATTTACAAGTTGCCAGTTAAGCAAATGAGGAATTTTAAGGTAAAGTTTTCCTGGAATTATACTTTCTACTTATGTGATAGGAAATGTCCTTTTAGCAGAGTCCATCTGCAGGTTTCAAACCAGGTAACTGTGATCTAAAAACTGCACTTTTCCGTTTCTTTAAGGAATTGTCTTTCAAAACTCAGGAAATCCACAACTCCTTCATGGAGAAGGTGTGTAGCAAAGAAGGAAACAATTCTACATTTTGCAAATGTCAAGTAAGTCTTCTCCAGTTAGCATTCAATAGGAAACACAAACTCTCATGAAGCACTTCAGGGTCTAAATGCTCAGCATCCCACCAGATGGCACAGGCAGCACAGCCTTAGTGCCCACCACCCATCCCATGTCCCCGGGCTCTGCGCAGCCTGAGCACGTCCCCTGCCTGAGCACAGTCGCGCAGCAACACGGCCTTTGCTAGAGAGATGCTTTATGACCTTGTAGCTGAAGCTGCTGAAGTTGTTATTGAAAGTTACAGAACAAGAACTGTATTTTTCCCCTCATTTAATACTTTCCTGATAGGCAGATAAGGCCTTTATTCTGAAGCAGAAGAATTTTATATTTTACTCAGAAGCAAGCACAACGCAGAAGCCACAAAGAATATTTTTGTAGAGCTGTAGTTCAAGAGCTGCTGACCTGTAGACTTATCTTTAGCCCAAATCAGTTCAGCACCAGTGTTTCACACTACATTACAAAACGTGTACTGCACCACATGAACGCTCACGCTGTGGCCATGAGCAGGACAGTACATCAGGTGATGAAAATTGCTGTGGCTTAAAACTCATAGGTGGCAGAATCATTCAGCCCAGAGAACGACCCACCCTTATGGAATACAAAATCACTTTTATGTCTGAGCACAGGCTTTGCACACAAACTATCTACTGCTATTGTGTGTAAGTGTGAGTACATACATTATTCGAAATGAAAAACGCTCCCCGACCTTCATCGCACAGGTGGCACCTGCCCGTTCCCCGCTGGAGGCTAAGTGTGCCCGCAGACCCCTGAGTGCCTTCCCATGAGATGCGCAACCTTTGACGGATGAACAGCTCAGCAACTTGGGCCAAACTTTTTGCATTTTACCTATGACATACGCTTCAAACCTGATTGTAAGATACCGCTCATTGTGGTTTGGTTCTTCAGAAAGCAATTAGTTACCAGCACATGAGAAGCTATTTATGAGCGCTGCGTTTTGAACGGGGAGCAGAAAATGAGACAGAAGAGGAGAAAAGCAAATGAGTGAAAGTGTAAGTTACAACCACGTGCAAAGTACAGCAACAGAGGAGGGAACAGGAACAGAATACACAGACCAGCAGAACTGCAAGAAGAAAACAATTCTTCAGTTCTTGATTTGTAGAGAAAAATAGAGTGAAATACTGAAATGACATTAATTACAAAACCTGCTCATCAGCAAGAAGGTGCCACACATTAATTGCTTTGCATCGGTAACACCTCCCTAACAAACTCACCGCAGTGACCGCTGAGGAACATCCAACATTTTTAACTTCTACCACTATTGGTACTGCTCAGCACATACTAACGTACAGCACCAAGAAGGAAAGAAGATGACTTTCCAGTAAACCAGAAATTAACAGAAACTCTATAGAATTAACAGCAGAAAAGTAAATCAGAGATGGGCGCCTTCATGAAACCTCCTCCTTCCCGTGCTTACTTCCTAATGGCATAGCAGATCTGTAGCCAAGCAACCTACCTTGGTAAGTCCCAGGTGCGTGCTGAGGGTAGTCATAGGGGACTTGATTTCCTGGTGCATAGTTCGCGTTTAAAAATCCAGGTGCTGGTGCGGGCTTGTGTGCTGGAAGAATGGAACATATGCTTTGAGTATTGCTCATTTCCTCCTACCCTAGGGTGAAAGATCCCAACGCTGCCTCCTTTTTCAGAGTAGACACATAACAAAATTAAGCAGCTGTTTTCTGTACAGCAAAAACTGTATAACAAGCTTGTATTTATGCACAATATGTATATTAAACATCACTCTAACTTAAAGGAGTTCTAATGCTTAAAGTGCAGAAAAAAGGCAGGTATTACACATGATGTCATGAAGATATCACAGAATCATGTAGCTTGGAAGGGACCTCTTAAATCACCTAGTCCAACCCTTGCTCAAGCAGGGTCAGTTCACTCTTTGTCTGGCCCAGAGGTGCCTTTGTTCATTTATATTTAGAAGGAGGCTTTAATTCAAAGGAATGCCAGAGAACTGACAGGCTGCCCTCCTGTCTAGAACAGACTGGTAACGAGCCATTCTCCACTATATAAAACATTTTTCTCCAACTTTCTTCAATTTAGGACTACACTAATGCCTCACCAGCAGACTCAGAGGGTTATGGATTTAAAAACATTTACCAAGTTCAGTTTGTAAGCAGAAATAACTTGAATTTCAAGATTACTTACTTATTTATTTAACTTCAGAAATCAAGATCTAAAAATGTAAACTATATCTTTTGTAAATGATTCAATTTTAAAATGTAAATGATTTCAATTTAAAACATTCATACATATTTCATAAAATTAGAAGGTAAACTAATAGGTAAGCTAAGATTGCTTAAATGCCTCAGAAGGACCCATGTTATCTTTGATATTAGAAAAAGATGACATTTTGTTTATGTATTACTCACCTTGCATTGCCGTGGATCTGCTTATAATTGTTCTGCAAAACAACATTTTTATTTAATTTTTTTTAATATATAATTTCACACAGGAGTTATTCAGAGTTCTCTATTTATTAATGATAAAAGAGACTTGCCTGTCTAAACCGTATGGGAAAGCTGAATTACAAATGCAAGCTAAAATAACTTTAAATGTCTCAGCTTCCTTCTAGGCTACGTCTCCACCACAAGACAAGTCTGCATCGTCTATGCCTGCATTCACGCTTTAAGCATCCTGAAATCATCCTCAACTCGGAGGGAAGCATCAGGATGTGCAGTTATTTCATTGCAGTGCCGGACTCCATCGCGCAGCCATTCAGAATCATCCTGCGATTCACACGAACAAATTACTGCACTAATTTCAGAGTAACTGGTTTAGTGCACTGACGTTAGGTTACAAAACCTGCTTGAGTAAATCCTGGAGCAGCCGTGAGGTTGTGCTACCACCTGTTCACTTCTTTATACTATTCCACTTCTTAAGTGGTACTGCTAAATATTACATATGCAATTTTTGTCTCCACACAATAACAAAGGGTGGGCTTGCACAGGCCAGTGGGCTTCCACTGCAGAATACCATGGGTGAAAGGGCCGAGTGCTTGTCTTTTTCTTTCTACTCTTCCGGGGTTGCCAAAAGAAGATTAAAAAAAAAGGCAAAAAGAACATTTACTAAAGCCAGAATCAACCTTGAGAGATACTCCTTTCAGTCTCTGGGGTAACAAGAGAAGCAAGGCAATGGCAGCAACTTCTGTTGAAGACAGAGGTCCAAAATAGCCAGGAGATCCGTAAGTGGAAATATAAAAAAGAAAAGCATAGGAGCTTCTTTTTATAGGATCAAAAGCTTTAAAGTAAACAACAAACCTAGTTATGCTTTAAAAAGAATGCAGTTCAAGTTAAACTACTAATATATTTGTCCGCTACGGCTCCTCCATCTAGTTCAGTTCAAGGATGGTTGTTGAGGCCCCATCTCTGAAGTGTTCAAGGCCAGGCTGGATGTGGCCTTGGGCAACCTGGTCTAGTCGGAGGTGTCCCTACCCATGGCAGGGGAGTTGGAACTTGATGATCTTTAAGGTCTTTTCCAACCTAAACCATTCTATGATTCTATGATGATGGTTATTCAAATTTGGAAATGAAAGTGAAAGCAGTTCCTTCCTGCTTTTCACTCCCAGAGTAAAAACAGATGTCACAGGAGGACATTTAACAGTTAAGGGATGACACAGCATCTAGCTCACTTCCCAATTCATACACAACATCCTCTTTGTTTAATAAACTGGTCTTAAAGTGTTCCTTTTTTAATATATTTTTTCTTCTACTTTACTAACAAAACCACCATCCTGTTTTACATACTTTAGTTGGATTCTGGTCCCCATATGAATGCAGGTTATAAAAAAAACATAATAGGAAATAATTTAAAATTATACATCTAATTTAAAAATCTGAAAGAACACATTCAAACTAAATAACTTAAACCTTGTTCTCACAATTGATAATATAAAGCGCCACATTTAATATATAACCATATTGAAATACTTTAACAAAACTACCAGATTGTAGGAATAGCACAAATTAAAGATGAATAAAAAAGTGTTATTTAACCTAGCAAAAGATCAGTTTATCATTTTATACTGTGAGATGTTCCAGCTACCTGAACTTCAGTGAAATACTCAGAATTACAGCTGAATCCTTTGGTAAAAGGAGAGTAGAGACAGAATCATATGATTTATTTGAAAGAAAGTCTCTATAGTAGCCCAGAATCTTTTTTCTCCCTACAATCACACATACATGCCACTGCTCAATCTAGGATTTAGAAAATGTTGTTGTGCTCTATAGCTAGAAAATCAACAAAGATTTTACAAAGATCAACTCCCATTTCATCAGACATGATGCTAAAGAGAATAGTTATTTCTTTTATTAAAATCGTCTCTTTTCCTCTGTTGCTTTTTATCTATGCTCCTTCTATCATCTCCAATTCAGTCACGAAGATTAACATATTGTCAGTCATGCCCTGCTTTTCATCTGAATAATTTATAAAGATTGTGAAATAACATACAATTCTAAGATAAAGAAAAGGAATGAGGAACAAAAACTCGGTTTTGACAGCCTTTACATTGCACAATATTGTGTTCAGCAATGTTGCTACGTGTGGGGAAATTCCCACCTGGTGAAACCTTAGTCAAAAAACAGTAGTAACGGGAAGACCAGTCACTTAGAAATGTGTCAGTTCCAGCTGCCTGGGTTATACAAAGCAATGATTTGAAGCCTACATTTTCATTTCACTTTAATAAAATGAGGCTTTATGCGCTCCTGGGTGTTACTAGTTCTAGCAACTAGTAACAATTTATTTTAAAATAAATATAGGGAACACAATCATTGAAACATTACTTACTTAGCAAGGAGAAGTAAAGGTATTTGCATTTAGCTCCCACTAATAGAAGAGAGGAAGAATGCTATTTCTTTGTAATGGAGTTAAAATTCCACAGAATTAAAGGAAAAAAATAAAGAAAGTGCTTCACCAAGTAGAAGCCCATTACTGAATTAATTTTGGTTCAACAAAACCAGTAGCTGTACGCATCCCTTGTGCTACACTGGCCACATGCTGCAACCTAAATTCACAATGTAAATTGAGAGTAAGTTGTCTTGAAATGAATCGGCTGGCCATGGTGTTCCGGAACACCAGATAGCAGCAGCTGTATATCTTTGCATATATCTTAATAAAAGCTTTTACAAGGCCCAGAGCAATCTGATCTAAATTTGAATTTACCCTGGCTTTCAGCAGAGGAATGGACCAAATGACCTCCAAAGGTTATCCTTTCCAACCTAAATTATGGTAGGATTATAAGGGTCCTTCACATTTGATTACATCACCTGAGGTATTTGCGGATCAAACATTCCCCAAAATCCCCCAGCTGGAGCGCTGAAGGGAGAGAGGTGGCTGGGGACCAGGCTCCGGCTCCCACCACCTCACCAGGGCTAGTTTGGGTGAGGGCTATGCCGGGAAAAGACACCGAGTTTTGCCCTTTCCTGACAGCGACTCATAGCTCTGGGCCCACTCTCCCAAAGGCAGTACAGATGACATATAAAAATCCCTTCTTCTCTGGAGGGGCCATACTCAGGTTCAGCTTTACACAAGGGAAAGCAGAAGCGATTTTGCTCGCAGGAAGGAAGCACAGGGGAACTGTGAAGGCTTCCTGCCAAGCGGCTGTCCAGTAACGAATGACCCTTATGAAATACAGTCTCTAGCTGGTCTGAGGTCCCCCCGCTGCGCCTGCGTGCCGGCAGTGGGGAAGGCAGGGGCTGGCCGCCCGCCCTGCACGCAGCCAGCTGCCTCCCCTAAAAACACAACGTGAACCCGCCTGGACGCTGTCCTGTGCAACCTGCTGTAGGTGACCCTGCTCTGGCGGGGGGGTTGGACTAGATGATCGCCAGAGGTCCCTTCCAACCCTGACCATTCTGTGATTCTGTAACCCCGCAGCGGGGCTTCCAGCACCCACTACTGCAGCGCAGAGAGGAAATGAAAGGCAAAAGACCTGATACATACACACACAAAATGGTCCTTCAACTGCCAAGACTGCTGCGGGTTATCAAGCTGAGAGCTGACCTCCATATCGCAGTTGCTGTACTGCTCACGTGAGAAAGAGACTCTTATCAAGAAGTCTCATTCTTCATACCCTGTCCTTGTATGTTGTACTATCTAGAACCCATGTTGCCAGCCTTCCTCCTCATCCATCGGAGTTCCCAGGCTTTTTCCCTTTGCTCTCAGAAGTACCAGTCAACTGCTGCGATAGCCTAAACCCTCTCACCTAGTACCAGCGCACCCAGCCCGTTCCTCACTTTCTCCTTACTTTCGTGAACCATTACTTAAATGGGTAACACAGAAACAACCCGCAGAGCCATCCAGGTGCCCAGGCACAGTGGTTTTCCCCCTCCAGGAGTTTTGAGCCCAAGCATTTAAGGACAGCCAAAAACTTTTGGAAAGGAAATCGAGGAAATACCGGTTCCAAAGGAAGTCAGAACAAAGCTGTTCTAGTTTAGAAAACAGTAAGGAAATAACATCCCTAGATTGTTCCTTTTTAAAGAATGGCAGAATGCCCACGTTTCTTTCCAGTCACTTTCCCATTTTCAGAACTGCATTACACAAATACCTCTCCCTTACCCTGATGCGTGTACACTACTAGATGTGTGTACTAGATATGCTACAACTGATTTAGAAAGACCTTAATTCAGTTAACTACACAATTTCCTGGTTTTGTTGGAAAAACAGTATACTAGCATGCAATCAGTTTCATTTCTTATCCAGCTCACTAAAATACTGCCAAGAGCATATTAACGTAAGCCACCAAGCACAAATATCTCACATGGTGCCATTTAAATACCAAGCCAGGCCCTTTCCAAGAGCATTTATGATTCAAAAAACAGACTTAGAAAGCCAAATAGCTGCGAGGCATGCATTAGTTCACCCTAGCTAGCTCTGTGGCACTTCTTTTCATCATCACGTTATATTAGACTATTCAGCCACTAGATTTTAACCTTGACTGCTAGAGAAACAGTATACTTAAAAATAATCTAGTCGATCTAATTAAACAGGTTGTTTTCTGCTAAAGTTACCAAAACAGCCTTCAGAAAAAGAATGAAATGAGCTACAAGTTGACAATAAATTATTTTGTTCTGATGCAGTAAGGTACCCTCTCCCCTCACAGAGACACCTCTCCTGAAACCTGGGGTCTCCCAACACCTGAGAGACAAAAATAGGGATGCCACCCGGGTTCCCCAGCCGCTCTGCGACGAGGGCACGGCTCTCACGCTGCCCACCCCGCTGCTGGGTGCCAGCACCACCATTGCCCGACCGTGCCCGCCGCTGTCAGCTCTCCCGGGCCAGCCTTGGCAGCAACATCCTTCCTTAAATCCCTCTTTGCAAGCCAGACGCTGTGCTAAGGAGAGACATTTGCTAACTCAACGCGCAATCCCCGCCTGGAAAACACG